AGGCGCCGCAGCGGGAGCCTGGCGCGCATGCGCAGCGCCCTCCGCCCCGCCCGGCGCTGGGCAGCAGCACCTTGAATTTTAATTATTTCATAATTGATCAAAACCCACGAGCGGTGTAGAGATAAGAAATGCGCAATCACCGCCAAGAAGAGGTTTAGAACACTGCATTTTCTGTTGTCTCTTGTGGAAACTATTAACCCCTGTGCTGCGAGGCCACAGCCATTTCCAAGCAGACCAGTCCAGCCTGGCCCCTCCGTCCCCGCAGGGAAAATGCCATTGCTGCCCCTTCTTCGTTATACTGAGCAAGTCTGAGAATAATTGGTTTTTTTAACTGCTTTTCTGTAGTGTTGTATTCACAAAGATAATCCACCGTAGCAGGAAAATGTGAACATGAGGTTATTGTGCAATTCCTGCCTACAAACAAAATCATTCCATGAAAAGACTAGAGGTGATGAATCCAAACATTCATACATGTGATGCAAGAAAACAAGGAGGTCATAGGCTCCTTCAGGGGCCCTCTAAGGGATGGAGCAATGCCTGGTAACAGTGGGGTAATGAGGACAAAATCAAAGGACTGGGAGATTTAGCTATATATCATATTTAAAAAGCCACTCTGCAAGCTAGAAAGGATCCAAATGTGGCAGAAACACACACACCAAACACATGGAGCATATATCAAAGACATCAACTATGTATTTGACAGATAAAATCTAACACAGTGTATTCAAAGGTATACAGACAGAAAGCCATGGCCAAGAGGCTTCAACTAAATGTCCAGAGGTGTCATGAATCCCTGGCTGACAGGAGCGGAGCTCAGATCCAAGGACTTCAATCCTGTATAATTGCGGGTTTGGGTGCTGCTGCATTGTGTCACTACCTGCTACTGCAGACATAGCTCTAAAATCTAAAATGAAATAGCAGGAGGCCATATTTTATCTCTTAAATCCAGGTAACCTTGGGGCAAATTAAACGGGTGAGAAAAGCTGGGAAGTGGGATAAGAAAAGTGAGGAGCGAGTGTTAATTTCCCAGGAAAGGGAGAAACTATGTAGTTTAGCTATCAGGCCAAAGTCTGGATAAATTGTAATTACTTCTCATGTTTATTTGTTAGTTTTCATTTATTTACATTATCATCATTTAGTTTCACCAGGTTTTTTTATTATGTTGAATGTCTTTTCATCCCAGGATCATGAGGTGGTAGGTGTAGTCAGGAGGACGCTGCCTGCCAGCAGCACAGCAACATGTGTTGTTATTGCAGCTATGGATAAGAATAAAAACTGAATGCTACAAGCCAGCAGATACAGAAACAGTTAATCAGAAGTGAACTACTTTGTTTCACTAGCAGCAAATACAAGTTTCATGCACAGGCACTCAGATAACCCCATTGTCCTGGTTTCGGCTGGGATAGGGTTAAATTTCTTCCTACTGCTGTGTTTTGGATTTAGTATGAGGAGAATGTTGGTAACACACTGATGTTTTCAGTTGTTGCTAAGTACCCTCCTAGTCCAAGGACAGCTCCCATGCCTACTGACTGAGCTAGGTACACAAGATGGGAGGGAACATAATCAGGACAGCCAGCCCAGCTGGCCAATGGGGTATTCCATACCATGTGACGTCATGCTCAGTATATGAATGGTAGGCGTGATCCAGGAAGTACCGATCGCTACCTGGTTATTGGTCAGCACCGGTGGTGAGCAATTGCACTGTGCATCACTCATCTTGTATATTCTATCATTATTATTATTATTATTTTCCCTTTTCTGTTCTATTAAACTGTCTCATCTCAACCCACAAGTTTTTCTCACTCTCACCCTTCCGATTCTCTCCCCGTCCCACTGCGGGGGTGGGGGGAGTGAGCGAGCGGCTGCGTGGTATTTGGCTGCCTGCCAGGTCAAAACACGCAACCCATGTAGAAGGGGACCGCCACAAGTTTCTTGATGGAGATTGCATCAAATTAAAGATCACAGGGCAGATGACATCTCTCTCAAGGAGTGAGAGCACTGGTTGTGGCAAGTCAACAAGCTCAGTGGATGCACACATTTGGGTTCGTTCTTTCCTCTGCCAACAGGTAGTCCCTCCAAGTCTCTCTAGCCTTCTTTTTCATTCAGTGACTTTGGAGATTCCCCCTGCTTTCTTCTATTGGAGGTGGAGGACCTTGCCCGTGCCAGAAGCTGTATTCTGGACTGCAGGTCGTCCCTCTGTCCACAGCCTGTCCATCCTCTGTACACTTACCTCTTCTGGCAGCAGAGCTCAGGAGAAACTGTTGCCCCCAGAAAGGGTAGGATGGGATACGCAGAGATGCAGGAGTCTGAACGTAACCAGCCAGGAGGCCAGAGAGGATTCACTAGACAAGATTTTTGATACTGCCTTCCAAGATGCAGAAATTCTTCTACAGGTCAGAAACCCAGTATCCATCTAACAGCACTTGGGAATCTTCCAGCCCAGGGTGGTTCAACATCAGCAACAATGGCAAAGATGCTCCAGTTTTGGACTGATCTTGTAAACCATGCTGACACTGTATTGCTAGCTTCTGCCCCAAATTCCACCCCACCCAGATGGACAGGGCAGCTTCCAGCCCCACCCCACTCCCCTGACGAGCAGGTGCTGTTAGCACTTGCTCTGCAAAGAAGCAGGAAGAGGCATTCCAAGGTTAGCACAACATGTTACCCAAACAGCAGCTTATCTGAAGAAAAGGTGGTAGGCCAGAGGTGGCCTGGAAGTTGCCATTTGGACCATGCTAGTCCAAGCCTTGTATCTGACATGAAATAAGAAGGGGAACAACAGTAGTCATGAGTAGGTATTGTCTTATCTTATTACCTGCCCCAGAGCATGGTGGTGTTTGCATCCCTTCAAGGGACTCAATATATTCACTCCCCAGCCATTCTGCGTATGTCCTCCTCTCTTCTACTGGCACGATCTCAACAGCAGAATCTTTAAAGATCAAGTTCTTTCCTTGAAAAGTTGAAGAATCAAACATTTTGAATCCATTTCCAGTGCTGTTTCCAAAGTAGACCTGAAAACAATGCAAAATTTTCAGTATTTTGCAAGATTAAGTGCCACATTCCTCTCATACAACATGAGACAACATGAAAGATGATAGAAACTGTTTTGTAGATGAAAAGTTCATACACAATTGGAGAATCTCTATTATGCGTTTGCTTTTAGACACTCCAGTAGATTAGATACAGAATTCTGCCATTGGCAATTACAAGAACACCATTTGTGATTTTGTTTTTTTAGTTACTATCTGGAAAGAGCTGTATTTTTAAAAAATTCTTCTGTCTAAATGTTGTCGTGTAATACAGGGTTTGGCTGCACAGGAGTTACAGAAATGACTGAAGCCTAGCATGGAGATACCCAATATTGCGTTTAAACTAGTTAACTTCAGTATTGATAGGAACCTAGCTGTGGCAGCCACGCATGGTCTGCCTAGATGGTTTACCATGTACGTGGCTGCAGCATAAATATACCCAGCAACGTTCTGTTTAATTCCTAGGAAAATTCCAGCATGTACTCTATTTCTTGTTGACTTCAAAGTCATGCAGTTTGGGAAAACACCTTAAGCTCCAGGAAAATTACTACTGAAACCAGTGGCTGGGCAAAAAGTTGAAATCCCTTGTGCGCCAAGGTGGTTTTACTAGGAGAATCACATGGGTTGTATTTTACCTTCTCCATCCCACTCCAACAACAGGGCTCTGCGCAGTGCACATGCTGCCAGTCCCATGATGCAGGGGACATAATATGGCAGTATGGTCCTGTTGTCTTTATCCTTGGTCTGTGTTAGACCACACGTAACTCCCCCATGGCATACATGGATTATTAGTACCTGGGCTTTGTCCAGTAGTCCATATAGAGCAAAAACGCTGGTATCTGGGTGAACCATAATGGCCTGAGCTGGCACACGAGCCAGGTGACACTTAGCAAACTGGGTGACTTCAGCACGGGCACCATTTGGACACAGTAACTGGAAATCACTGGACTTCAAGTTTTGGGCCCAACTATCAGTATTCTTACCTGAAAAAAGAAACCAGTCATTGTCACTCATTGAATGCTTTAGAGCACAAAAGTTCTAGAAAAATTACTGAATTATAATAGAGAGATATGTAAAATGAAGTACCATCTGTGTTCTCAAACACTGTCGAGTGCTTCACAAAGGCCACATCCCCAGAGTCCTGTGCCAGGCACCTATAGGAAATGAGAGATAAAAATTCAGTTCAAAGCATCTTTATGTGAACCACATTTTTTTCTAATAACTGATAGATTTAGAATTCAGGGTTTTTTTACATACATTCCTGCAAACAAATGCACTGGACCCTAAGGTAATAAGCAAAAACAGAGGAATGAAGCACCTTGAAAGGAGCAAAAACCAACATCTTTGCAAAGTATTAAAAAATATTCTGAATTAAGACTTTTAAGAGAGGAATACAGCAGAAAATTTTCATTAAAAACAGTGTGAGAAACAACAGAAAAGGCCAATATTAGATGAGCAAAGAAACAGAAGATATATTATGGGATACTCAGTGCACTATTCCCCATCTGCTAACAGTCGCTTTCACTCCTTTTTAAATCATGTACAAAGTATACGTCATTAAGACTTTTTTTGAATAAAATAATTTGAGTGCATAACCCAAGAGTTTATGAGATTCTGCATATGTGCATCTAAATCTCCTCCTCTCCTACGAGTGTGGTATCCCATTACAGAGAGTTTCAGGGCAAAGGTGTAGAACAACACACCTTTACCAGCATTTGCTGTTTTCCATGTTATATTGTGGTGTTGTCTAGCGCACTATACAACAGGCACCACAGGCTGTTAGGATATTTTTGCTAGGCCTGAAATATGAAGTCAGCAGAGAAAAGAAATGCATGGCACCTGCTTCAGACAGCAAGTAATACATAACTAAAATCAACCTCAAATCAGTGAGCTGGCTGAGCTAGCAAAGAGATCTAACTTCCCAGGTATTTTGGGTAGTGCGTGCTGGCAAGGGATCTGTGGGTAATAGAGTTTAGTGGTGTACCTTGTAGTTTATTCTACAAGTGTTTTCAAGAAGCATTTCCTAAAACAAGATCATTAAATCCACCAATCAAGAAGATGTAAAGCTGTATCTGAGCATGGTTTACATAGTACAAAATGTGAGGGAAAATTATTATTGCTAACAGTTACCAAAAATACATATATTTCACGTGTACCTGGTTTAACATGAGCAGTTATAATCCAAGTTCTTATCACCATGTGGCTGACACTGCCATGCAGAGAACAGAGGACTCGGCAGGTGCTGTTCAGTGCACTCCTCATCAGAAAAGCTGTTCCCAATAGATTTTTCAGCACTCTGCACGTTTTAATTTGCCCCAGGCAGTGGGATATACACAAACTGAATGACTTCTCATATCTCTAGTCAGGTTAGCTGAAGATATCCAGAGTTGAAGGAATCTGGAAATCTAAGGCTGAATTTTAAGCTCATGTCAGTCACCTTCCATAACTCATTCTTCTTTCAGAGAGCATCACCTAAGTATCACAGCCAGACCCATCCCTACCTTGCCATTTTTCACCCAAATCCTAATCTTTTAAATACCTGAAACTTTCCACATCGCTCGATGAATTAAACATCTTCTCTATTAAAAAAAAAAAAGAGTAGTGATCTCCATATAAAGTTTGGGCTGTATGGGCACTATTATCAAATGCACAACCTTAGAATATGAGCAAGGCTCATACAGCCTGTAACAGCATTTGTGGCTTATTCAATTTGGTGACTGGTAGCTAGCTCTGTTAATCTATGAAGTACAGCAGAGGATCCGGAGTTTGCCTGTAAAGCATGTACCACAGCAGAGTGGCTGGACACAACTAAATAGATTTGCAAAAGGTAGTTATTTAAGTCTAGCACTTCAATATTTACCAGGCAGCTGCTGTTGAAGTCTCCTCCCTGAAGGAAAAAGACTGCTCACTGCCAGCTCTGTTACATGCACTGTTACCTTCAGAGGTGAAGGTCTGGAAGAGGAAGTGCTACTTCCATATATGAGAGTTTCGCAGTCTTTGGGTGTGGCCCCATATGTAGATGTCCGCTGTTACACAGAGTATTTATTCCATTTTATACTATCTTCCCCCTGTACCTTTAACACATCTTGTTTTGAAGAGGATTTGATATTTGAACATTGGCCACAGTTGTTTGTGCTGTTCAGAAACCTACCTTCACATATAGCCACCAATGAGTGAGGATAGTGAAGACCCACTCCTGGCTCCCCATCACTAGCCTGCCACTCTCAGCATGGACTTAGAGCAGCCAGATTCTGGCTACTATTTGCCTGCTTCTCTGCTAAAGCTCTTTATGGATGACCTGACCATTCAGAGTGGCAGACTGTCTGTCATACTAAGCATTAAAGCAAGACTGGAGACCGATGACAATCCACTTGGTCCTCACTAGGTGGGTGCCTATTGCTCTGTAAACAGACATATGGATTTGGCTGCTGGTCATCTGGTTGGCTGCAGGCCAGGAAGCTGGCAAAAGTCTTTGACGTAATCTAATGTAATACCTTATGACATACCTGTATTGCTGAAGACATCTGGGGACACATGTCCCACTTCACTTACAGCACATGCCATCTGACTGTAGCAACAATAATCACTTTTTGCTGACTGGGATGGAAAATAGTTCCTCCTTGCATTTTGACAAGCTGACAGACTAAGTAACAACCATATGTATTAATTACCTGAAGGCTCCGCTGTAGCTGTAATAACGTTCTTGACTACTTGCACTGCATTTATTGTTTCCGCTATCATCTCCAATACATAGTTGACAGAGTTTTGATGGGTAATTGTCCTGCTTAGCTGAAGGCACGCAGCTGGCAGAGAAAAACTCACTCACAGCTGGGAAAAAAAAGACAAACCGATATAATGACTGAAAAGCGTGAGTAGTAGAAAAGGTAGTTACACTGTCATGAAGTTATAACCAAAGCAGGTTTCAGTAGAACACTAGAAACATGAGTTACGGCTGCCTTACTGGAATTTACAAACTACAATTTTAAAATATTTTCAAAGAACTATTTAGCTGATTATGTAATGAAATCAAAGAGCTTCCTGGGAGATAGGAAACAGGCAAGCAAAATTCGAATCTGGAGTCCTATGGTCATAGATCCTTTGCTTGTTGTGCTACGTTGCTCCATTGCTAAATACAGTTTGAAAATAAATGCAATAAAATTCAGGACAGGGATACATCATTTACTGCAATGATATCCCAGGGCTGGAAGTACCACCTAGAGGGGATACGTCTGTACGTGAGTTTCTGTGACTATCCTATTACTGATATCTGACTTGGGTCAATATCCTCAAGCAAAAGCTGAGACAGCCAGGTGTGAAAGCAGGATTTTCAAGACCATATGATAAGCTTAAAGTTGATTGAATACAAAAAGCAATGGACTCTTCAAATGCATTTCTGAAAACTGGAATAAACTTTGGCAGTTTGATACTCTGGAGGCCAGGGCTGCCATTGAGACGGATCTGGACAGGTTGGAAGAAACAGGCTGACAGGAACTTCAAAGTTCAACAAAGGCAAATGCAGAATCCTGCTTTTAGGATGGAGTAAGACCATGAAAGGCTGGGGGGTGGCAGGCTGAAAATCAGCTCTGTAGAAAAAGGACCTGGGGATCCTGGTGGACAACAAGTTGACCAAGAGTCAGCAGCGTGCTTTTGTGCCAATGAAGGCTAATGGCATACTGGGTTGTGTTAGTGGAGCAGTCAGGGGAAGTGATGATTCTCCTCTGACATCTGTGTCAACTTTTGAGCTCCCAGGGTTAGAAAGACATTGGCATTCTAGAGCAAACATGGTGGAAGGAGAGTAGGATGCTCAGAGGGCTGGAGCACATGACCCAGCACTTACCAGGCTGAGAGCTGGGTTTGGTCAGCCTGGAGGTAAGGCAACTAACAGTTTATTGCTGTCTACATTTACATAGTGGGTTTTTCAAAAGACAGAGCCAGATCCTTCTCACAGATGCAGAGCACAAGGATGAGAAGCAACAGACCGAAGTTACAAGGAGGAAAATTCTGATTAGATAAAAGAAAAAAATCCTATATACCAAGGATGGTCAAACATTGGGACAGGGGTCTAGACAGGTTGTGTGTAATCTCCATCCTAGGAATTACTCAAAATTACTCATGTACTGCCTGTACATGGCCCTGGGCAATCTGATCTAACTGTACCTGCTTTGAGCAGTTGGTTGGACTAGATGACCTCCAAAGGTCCCTTCCAACCTAAATTAGCCAAAGATTTGGAATCAATGAAAGGAATACTTTCGTCTGAGATGTAACATTCTTAGTATGACCCCTCCATTAGTCTACTCTGGTGGCAAACTTAAAATTTCAAATCATTACATTAAAACCACAACACTCCTTCACAAATAGATAAGCTTAATATAGAGCTATGAAATATCAAAATTATTTCCCTACTGAAAGTTTATAATTAGACTGTTACCGTATTTTTGATACATAGTACTGTTGCCTTACCTTGAGGAATATTACAGTCTCTGGTCTTAATAATGCCCCTCTTAATTAGCATACCAATGGGGATATTCCATCCAGCAGTTCTCCCCAGTCCTGTGTGGCAGGACTTCTTCCCTTTCAGGTCACTGATGGTGAATGCATTGGACAGATTTCGTTTCACTAACGCCACAGCATAGTATGCATTGCTGTTGTCATCAGCTTGCAGAAAAAAAACCAAAACGCATTACAGCTTCCCTTAAGCATTCCCACTGCTTAATGATCATCTACAGATCCATTACACTTATCTGGTGCCAACTTCAGTTGCACCAACAATCAGGTCAGGAAGTATGAATGTACATGTAATTACTCTTCACTTCTACTACTTCACAATGTTGCGTTCACTTACAGCCTGTACACTGCTACTGCTATGCACGTGAATAATCTAGAGACAAACATTAAAGTGTTCTTGTTAACACCAGCTCTTATAAATACATCCCTCTGAAAAACAACATTTGGGTCATTAGTGACTTAGCAACACTGATTTAAGAAGTTACTTTTATGTGAAAACCTCAAACCTGTATTAACATTTCCACAAGTTTTGCAGCCTTAGTGATACAGTGGACACAAGCCCTTTTTTCATCGGTGACTCTGAAGCAGCCACATTGACAGGAAGAATTTGTTTCTAACTAGAATCTACTATGTAATCTGTATTTTTGCTCCTGTTAAAAATATTTTAATTTTGTGAATACAAATTTTTTCCATCGTAAATATTTTATTGCAGAATTGAAAAGACAAATAAAGAGGTACAAGACTCAGAACTGCCAAAGACTCAACCTGGTCCTGCAGCAGGTCAGATAAAAGTTGCCATGAACTCACTGTAGGAACCCATCCCATACTTATTTCCTCCTCTATCCATGATGTGAGGATAATAATTCTCATTTCCTTTGAAAACAGCTTTCCCAGCAGGGCTAGGGAACAGAGGCTGTGCTTTTAGAGCTGTTTTCAAACAACCTGGAAAAATAAGGTCTATATTTATGTTTCCTGACCTTCTTACCAGAGTAACTTTCTCCAGCAGCTGGTACAAGGCCATATGTCTTCCCAGCTGTGTAAATATCAGCTCCACCCAGAACTACAGCATCACTTTCCTTTTTCTGAAAAATAAAATAAAATTTAGGATTTCTGTGAAAAAACAGCAGATACCTTCCCTGCTACAATGATGACACCTCTAGCATCACACCTGTTGCATCTCAAACGGCAAGTCTGACAGCAGAAGAGCAATACACTGCAAAAAAAAGAAAAAACCCAAAACCTGCATAACGCATCATCAGTGAAATGGGGACAGATTTCACACATACAGCTTGAGCTAGATGGGCAACAACGCCCTCATCACAACTGAAGATCATCAGGGTTCAGGCCCATCCATCCCATGTGAGCTACAGAACACCTCCTCGAAACCCAGTATTCCTACTGGTCACCCAAGTGCGCGTATCTCCGATCCTACCTACCCAGCAGAGAGCAGCTTGTGTTAATTCGGTTTATTGCACACGGATTGTAGCAGCCTACCTGGATCAGCTCCATGCACTGTTCCTTTGTCTTGGCTGAAATACACTGAATTGCTGGTTTCAAATCCTTTTTCTTAAAGGCAATGGCCATATCACCACATTTCCAAATCTCCTCAGTGGATACAACACACCAGTTCAGGCTTTCTGGCAGCGCTGCACAAAATTGGAGAGCAAATACTACAGTTCACTTTCTTTGTGACAGACAAGGAGGGATACACACTGCCCGCTGCCACCTATGTACCATACATGTTATTAAAAAATGTTTACTTCTGTGTTTCTCTCCAGCTCAGACTTACACCTGATTAGGAACGACAGAGCTCTCCAGATTAGTGGTACGTCCACACTGCAAACCTATCCATAGCAAAGGAACAAGAATTCCTACAATTGCTGACCATTAAGCACAGCCATAACGTGTTAGTTGAGTGCAGCACAAACACACCCTGAACACAGGCTTCCTCATACCTGACAGTCACTGAGCAACCCCCAGAAGAGACAAGTCCGGGAGGTGGGGGGTTTTGCCACAGCACAGAGCATGTCTGGGAGGCTCAGTTGCCATGATTATTAAGCTTCTTAAGGCAGGGATTCTTACAACCTGTGTTTCTGACTTTGCCAGAATGCACATCAAACAATTCCTACATTCTTCCAATAGTATAAAAGTCCTTAACACTTCAATAAAGAGCAATTGAGGGTTTCTTCAGCTTCTGGAGGAAATTCTCTGCTAGGAACCCATTCATCCATTCTTTGTAGACTACCTAAGGATTTGCACAGCAACACATTACTATTTCCCCCTGTTAGCAGGTAAAAAAATGGAGTACCAGGTAGCAGTAGCAGCTTACCAGATTAATGTGTCTCATACACCAGAAAGGGTAGAAAATGCCTGCATCTTGTAACACAAAGTGGGACAATTTGCACAGGAAAGTATTCTGCGATGTGATACTGTTTCTATGTCAAAAAGTGACCTTTCTCTATGCTCAAAGATTAGACTGGCATCTTGCCATAACCCTCCAAGAGTGAGAAGAAAACAAAGCAGAATAAAGATGGTCTCTGTTATCAGCTATCTTTGTTCTTGGTTAGGAATCTAAAGACAACTTACTGTTGGGGTTGCAGCTCAGAGCTTGTATGGCATGAAGATACTCATCACCCAGCCATGCCTGGTAATTCTGAGCTGTGATTGCAACGAGCTCTGTGGTGGAGTCTCTGAACAGAAGATTCTGGGCACTGTAGGCTGCGGAGTCAAACATCTGAAACTTGGTGCCTAACCCATTAAATCTTTGCTGTAACGTTAAAGAAAGAAAAAAAGCACCTGTCACACATCCCTCTACCTGGGATGTGTGACACCCCATACCCCTTCAAACCCCACAGAGCTGAAGGTGCCCAGATATCCTGTCTTCAATTCAGCTAGACGGGTGGGAGAACCCCTCTAAAATGCAACGCACTGATGAAAAAATGGTGTCCTACTTGTCCCTGGTTCAGGAGCTGGAAGACGACTGTCCCATCTGTGTCAGGCCGCACAACCACGGCACGAGCTGGGATTCGGGCCAGGTGGCAGGTTCTCCACTCTGTCACATCAGCTGTGTTGCCGTTGCGGCACAGAAGCTGGAAGTCCCGGGAGCGAAGCCACTGGGCCCACGAAGAAAGACTTCTTCCTGAAATCAGACAGAACTGCTTATGGAACAGACATCAGGTGGGGCTGATGCTTCTGGCTCCACGTCTGCTCTAAGCATCACGTGCAAACACACATCTCCTGAGCATCTTTGAGCTATTCCTGACTGCACAATATATCCCATGCATCTACGTGGTCCCTTAGTCTTGCATCTCTGATAAGACAATAAACAGCTTACCACTTGTGAGACTGCATTGAATTGTACTGGGGTCTGCAGTAATATCAAGAGCATCCCTAAGTCTAAGATCACATGCAACATTTTTTGGTTTTTTTCCCTGTAAATGATGGTCAGACAGTCCCACAACATTAAAGTAATGTTATGCTCAAGATAGATTTCACAAAGTGCCAGATAGGGCAGGCCACATCTTGTTAACTTTCTGCTAGTCTCTGCTGAAATCCCTGGGTAGGCAGGAGCAATTTAACAGCCCAGGTCTATATAAAACTAGAGTTTAGTGCTGTTTAAGCTCTCTTTCCAGAAGAAGCTTAAGATTCCACCTCTAACCTTCACTGACACTATCAAGCATTTAAAAAAAAAAGATCACGTGGACTCCTCTATATCCTGGTATATACATCTGTGGGTACATCTGTTTTCACTATTAAAAGCATTTTTTGCTGATTCCTCACTTCAAAATAAATCAAACATTTGACATTATACTGTCATTACAGACACTGTACTTCAGACCTTGCAGCCACTATTCAACAAGCTTCTGGATTACTCACCATCTGTATTTTCAGGCACTGTACTGTGCTTCACAAAAGCGACTTCTCCAGCACCTTCAGCCAAACACCTAAGAAATACAAATCCAACCACAAAGACGCATTACAAAGCGCAGCTCCCATCCACTGGATGCTGTCGGCTGACAGCCAGAGGGCTGTATGCTACGTTCCACCAGCCACAGACACTGACCTACTTCCTTGTGCTGAGAGTTCTGCTCAAGGCAGAGACTAGTGGCTGTTAGAGCATGAAGTAAACTGTCACTGTCATTTGGTGAATATGGACAACATGTTCAGCGCTGCCTGGGACAAACACCATGACCTTCTTTGTCCAGGAGAGTTCTCCGTCTAAGGCAGTTGCACAATCCTTTGGGGAACAGGCAGGGAGGAGCAAGTGTTTCACATGAGCAAATTCTGCCCTTGCTCGGTCAATGCTATTACTCGGGGACTGGGAGCTGCAACACAGGGCACAGACAGAAAGAAGGAAACTATGGGCAAGACTGGTGTGCAAAAATGGAGGGCAGATTCAGTGCAGCTGAGGTGGGATGACTGAGATAGCTGAATAGGGCAGCAGTTCAGCTCTCAGACTCTAAAGGTCACCTGGTTTTACTGGGAAAGATACAGCCTGCTGAAACAAACACTCAGACTTGTGTCAACAGCTGCTGGACAAAGCAAACAGCAATGGGATTTCCCTGCCCAATATAAGTGTTAAATATCCATTTGGTTTTAATACTCAGGTACTAATACCTGAAATAGCAGGTTTAGAATTACTTTCATTCAGTCTCTAAGTTTAAAGCATGGTTGTCCTAACACAATAGCAGATTTTCTAACAAGATCAACTGGAAGTTCTCTGGCTTCAGTTTCCTATGAGTGAGGCCTGGACACGATGGCTACGGATCGAGCACCATGGTAAAAAAAAATTGACAGAGCCATGATTTTTACCTGAAGGCCCCACTGTAGTCATAGTATTGCTCTTGGGAATTTCGTTTGCATTTGTTCTGCCCAACCGAATCCCCTTTGCAGAGCTGACAGAGGGATTTGGGATAGTTTACGTCATTTGCTCCAGGAACACAGCTTGCATTGAAGTAGTCACTTACAGCTAAATGTGAAATTAGAATGAGAAATTTTTAGCAATGAATAAACAAGATCCTACAATCTCACTTTAACCCATCTACACAGTACATCTCTAAAAACATTTAGAAGGGATAAGTCATTTTGTTCTTAAAAGATGGTTTCCAAGTTTAAAAAAACCCCTGCAGTCTTCATCAGACCTACATTAGGTCTATTCCATCTTACAAGGAGCATCAAAGCCAAGGAACAAACCAGCAGCTAGAACCACACATTTCTGTCCACACACAGGGTCCCAAGACCATACAGAAAGGCATTGCTGAAGAACAGATCTTTGCCCTGTAACTCTTACCTTTTGGAAGGTCACATCCCATTGCTGCCAGGCGCCCACTGTCAATTAGATAACCCACTGGCACATCCCAGCCTGCAGTTCTGTTGATGCCTGTGTGACATGAACTGACACCCTTCAAGCTGTTGATCGTGATGTTGGAGCTCTTCCTTACCACAGCCACGGCATAATAGGAAGTTCCAATCTCTGCAGCACAGGAAGAAAGAGAAACAAGCAAAGTAGCCTTACAGCAGCATTACAGTGAGACACTGATTTGTGGCCTCTTGTGGCTCCCCTACCCACAGGCAAGTCACATGGTTTCACATCCTTGGTGAGAACATGCCGACTGTGAGTGAATGTCCTCAGTTATCTTTTCAGTGTGAAATGTCTTACTTAAAGGCCACAGGCAATCTGCTCTAACTTTGAAAGTCACCCTGCTTTGAACAGGCGGTGGGATGAAAGACATGCAGAGGTTCCTTCCAAGAAGAAATTTTCTATGATTCTAAATATATTTGGACTGACTTGAAACCAATATAATTAATAGTAAAAAAAAATATTGCCCAGTTGTCTACTAATTTGATCTTAATTTTGACACAGCATAGTAAGTTGATGTGACTAGAGCATCACAGCTGATTTCATTCTCTTTGTTTTACAGTTTGATATAACTCAGAGTCAAGAGTTTAGGATCTGAAATGACCATAAGGCCATTCAATCTGACTTTATTTAGGTCATAAATTACTAAATTTCATTCACTTTTCTCTGATTTGAGCGCATAACCTGACTAATGGAGATAGCCAGCCTCTGGCTCATGGGGCCCATTTGGTTTTGAGAAACTGAAGTGCAGTTCCCTCACCAGGGTCATGATGTGGTTAACAGTGTGTGTGGGGGTACTGCGGACTGAGCCCAACAGGCACTTCTGAGGATGCCTTGGCCAGATCACTCTAAGACCCAGCTGCAAACTAAATCCAGCTCCATCTCACAACAGAGTGGTGGGACACCACTGCCTGCAGACTGCTTCCAGAGCTGTTTCTTCCCTTGGGTCTCTGAAAGTTATGGGGGACATCTCCCAGCTCTGAACTACACAAACATGTTGATACTGAGCCCTTAGTCAGGACGACAAGTCACCACTGAATTACTGTCTTTGTCTTGAAAGGAACTCAAAGCTTAAGGACACCCAGATAAGGAACAGAATCTATCACTTCCTTTCTTCCAGCAGGTAATCACATACACTATTAATAAAATCTAATTATTCTAATTTATAGGATTGAGAGATAAGCCTAATAACAATTTATGCTTTGCAATTCATTAATCTAACTGCAAAGTATGGAACAGAGATGACAGTAAGCAGTGAGACAGTAAAAAAAAAAACCAAAAAACAAAAAAAACCAAACCCCAAACAAAAACCAACCCAACAAACCTATTACAGGAATGGCTGTTCTGACCTAACTGTTTCAGGACAGACTCTGCCACAGCCCTACGTCTCCTGTTTTTAACACATTCTGTTACGGGCAGGAACATCCAAGAGGGAACCTGACCATTACCCGCTGTTTAGAATCTTCAAGAGGAGGACCCCAAAATAAAATGGAAACAGTAAAAATGCATAAGAAAAGGCTCATATTAAGTAATCTAGAAGTTATTCAGTCAGAATATACCTTGATCATATACTTCCCCAACCACAGGTTTCAGACCGTGCTCCTTTCCAGCCTGGTAAATCAAACGGCCATCCAGTGTCACGGCATCTGCCAAATCATCCTGTGCAGACATAAGGGCAGAATACATGTTGAAGCTTAATTATCAGTATTTCTCAACAGCCGGAGACAGAGTACCCATGAATTTAAGAGAAGAGGCCCCTTTATCTGCATTTTTGAGTTTTCTTTTCTCCAAAAAGTTCTTCTACTCAATTTTCTGAACAACAATTACCAAGAGGGATTTTAGAACTTGAAAACTGCCTTACTTCAGTCATAATGCAGAAGCCAGCCCTGGACTGTGATGGCCTCACTAGACTTCAGAGTCCAAAGGAATCTTAGAAATGGATCCCGCAGCTCTGTGATGAATCTTAAGGCCCATCAATTTGGAGTTTCATTCATCTCTATAGCTAGTGCCCCAAAGCTTGAAGATTTAAATAAAGTAAATATATTTTTGAGGCCATACACAGATAGTTTGAAGTAATGTTTTCTGGGGCTGCAAAATCTGATGCCAAAGTGTATTCAAAAGCAACCTTAAAGCATGCTGGCTTGTACCTCAGCAGACAAACAGCCACGCTTTTTGGGAGAGGGGGAGCAGATAGCAGTGCATTTCGGAGAAGGAGAAAAGCATCTAAAAGACTGTCCAAAGTGGGGGAATACAAATCTGGGGCATCCACTGCTGGAAGGTGTCCAACAATACTGTATCTTTTCAGCTGACTAGAACACCAAGCTGGCTGGAGTCCTGCTACAGGTGCAGGATTGCTCTGGATAGCACGGGATAGGACTTCCCACAGCAGCAAGGACTAGAGAACTATACACGCCTCTGATCAGCTGAACCTGGCTCTTACTGTGTACTCAACCCAGTGGAAGCCAGAAGAGGGCATCTCGCACAGAGACAAGATACTGCTGAGAAAATAATCAGCAGCTTGACATTTTGCATTTCTAAGCTGATTTCAAGTTTCTTATCAGTTTGCTTGACCTCTGGTTCGGCACTGGAAGGAGGTAACTTAGCTTACCCATCTCTTGGCAGTTTGCTGAGCATTGGTTAGGGTAGGTCTAGGACTATGCTGCCTAGTATACCACAGCAATTTCCTACAGGCTGAGCCACATAAAAAGCTTGAAAATATTTTAAGGGATCGTGTGAGAGCATAGGTAATACATTGATGTTGATACCTAAATCAGATTTGAAGTTGCCAGGTAATTTGAAATATTTTACTTATTTGGCTCAAGGGAGGAAAAAAGATTATATTCATTAATTAGCTGAAACAATAGATGTCTTGAGAGTTGCTTCTCATGCATGAGAGCTGAACAAAGCTCCAAGGGAACCTGGAGAGGAGTTGGGGTTGGGAGGTATTTGCATCTTAGAGAACAGACACAATCCTTCTGGAATAACCAGATCTGATATTGCACCGATGAGAGTCAGAGCACAGGACAACAGTTTAGGAATCAAATATGGCCTGTTGTTTAGAAGGAACACCTGGCAGTGAGAGAAGGAAGAGGAGGTGGGAGTTAGAAGGACCTTAGCCTCCTATCAATAGCTTGTGTATAATTAACAGAACAAGACCAAAAAAATGCCTATTGTTGTATTTAACGTGAAGTAGTTTACAGGCTACAGACCTCTCCTTTAATCGCATACAATCACTGCTGAGGTGGCATACCACCAACAGTGTGGGTATTTAATTTTTTTTGTAGCAAGTATTTGCCAATACATTTAGCAAAAGCACGGGATTATTCCACATATGATTTTTTTGATAAGTATATGTGCGATGGTAATACCCGGTTAATTATTTCCAGAGGGACTTCATTTCTCTGTGTCACAACATTTGAGAATTACCTACAGAAGTGTTTAAAGACCTGCTGAAGAATAGCTCTGGTCACATTAAATATTGTCAGGATCCCTAGTTTAATATTTAGACATTTCTCAATTTTTAAACACCTTCAAAGAAAAAGCTTTTTTACTTTACCTATGTGCTAACACATTCACAGGACTAAGTCCAAGTTATGTAGTGCTACAAAACAGCGTATCTCTGCCTCTTCAGCCACTGTGTCCCACTCCCTTTTTAGCCTCAAAGAGCAGAGTTCAGTGCGTATGCGGACTCACGGGTTCCATACAGTCCTACACAGAGCAGGCCAGCTTAAACATTTAGTAGATTATTAGCACAAGAAAAAAGAGGTCTCAAGGACAACGCCTTGTCTTGAAGCCTTGCAGTGAAGATTCATTTTATCAGAAAGCTACTTACTCATGCTATCCGCCTGCAGGTTTCTGAGTTCAGCTAATCAAGTTTTATAGGAATCCAAGGTTTTAGATAGGTGCCTGCTGCTTGCAGTGGCTTACAAATGCAATTCTCTGTGCACTGTATTTCAGAAGCAGACACTCATCAGCCCTTTTAATAACCTGCTTTGCAGAGTCTAGCAGGTCCCTCTGTGGAATGCAGCAATCAGCCAAGCGGTTTTAGGAAGATCTGACATTAGGAAGTATTTCCTGTCTAATCCCAAGGTAAGATCCATGAATGTATCGATATCTGCTCCTAACGTTCTTCAATACAGCCTTGATTCCCTTGTTCAAGAACAGTATTTATCAAGAGGCAATGCGGTAGTTTTAGTAGTCAGACAATCCTTCTGCTTCTGTTGACAAAAATTTACACAATACCAATTTCTGAAATTTGTTCCATTTTTCTGGTCACACAACCACCTGCCTTGTCTCCCTTCAAACTCCTCTGCCGGGTCTCATTTCCTGGCTCTGAACCTCTTGTCCTTGACAGGCTGCATCTCCTCCACAAACCCCTGATTTTTGGGAATTCTACACAGGATACACAAAGAATATTATTTATTAACACAGCCAGCCATCCTCCCCTTCCCCCACACTCTGCCAGTGAAGACGACTATGATTACCTGCCTCCACATTTCTTCCAATGTTCACTTGTCGCCTCCCACCCCCTCCTAAGGAGGGAATCATTTTCCATACATGATTTTGCAAAGCCGCATGTTTAGAGTCTTTAAAACCTTCCCCAGAGCCGTGCTTCTTTTGGAAACTGAGCATGTTCTGGGCAGCTGAATTAATACAGCTGGGTTTGCGTGCCCTTTGCTCACCCTATTTGCTGCTTTGTCTCGTACTCCGGTATTGGGAGATTTGATTTGACTTTACACTCATCTGTATATACAGCAACTTCCATGATGGGACCCTGAAATGGGAGTTTGATCCAGAGTTTAACTGAAATACAATCTACTTATAGGCTCAGCAGCACAGCTTTAACTACTGTCTGCATCTTATAGCTTCATCCCTTCTTAAATATCTGCTAAATAAATCTGACACAATTCCCAAATCAAAGATTAGCATTTGGGAGGGAATATTTAAGACCTTTGCTGTGTTCCTAATGACTGGCTATACGTGACTAGCCAAATAGATGACACAGGGACATTCTGACATTCAGGTTCATATGTATACCTTTATGTCTTTTTAAAAAAATACATGCTTTGATTTTTCAGAGGCATGAATGCCAGGAAGCACATGGTCAGCTGCCTGGATCATCACCGCAGAGCTGTGTACATCGCCACTGGATTATTATTAGGCACATGGGGAAATTAAATCAATGACGCTGCCATCACTCACAACTCACCTTGATCATCCGCGTACAGTTAGCAGCTGACCCCCCATCTGTACACTCCAGAGGGGGAAGGATGCCAGCCCCACCGAAGGCCTTACTCATGTCATTACACTTGGAAAGTTCTTGCTCAGAGACAGTGCACCACCGGATACGTTCCAGGCTGAGAGCTGCAAACACCACACCAAGAGAAAATATTATAAAACACATCGGTGCCTTTCTAACAGAGCTTACCATTTAAAGGTTCCCGAAGAACCAACCTTTCATTCCATTCCTCCTCCCCAAACAGAAAGAAATCAGGGCTCTTTCAACAGTGAGTCTTTAGAGACAGTTCCCACTTTCATTCAGATTAACATGAATACTGAAATTTTTTGGACTGGAAACAGGATAGGCTCAGACTCAGATACTGAAACCTGATGGCATTTGTTTCTGACATAAGAAATATGGGTACCATGAAATAGGTCAGGGTGTCCAAACTATTCTTAAAACCTTGCAGAATACACCTTCTTTTCTCCAGTCAAAAGTGTTTAAAATGATAATTTAAAATGATATGCTACAAAACCAAAGAGGCTGTCCAAAGACAACTCTGTCTCAAGCATTGCTAGTTAGTACCTGGAGTCCTGCCCCAGCCCTTTTTGGTCTGAATAAAAAAAAGCAATCTTAGGTGCTCAAAAGCCTTGCCACTGGGCTTATTACGAAAACTAGAAAAGCAAACTTGTCCCTTCAAAACTCTCTTTCATCAGAGGCTGGTTCCACAATCACGAAAAGGGGAGGGCAGTTCCATGAATGAAAAGACTCAAGTTTAGTACTAGAGATTCCATTAATCGGTGAAGAAAGGTGTCTTTCAGCAGGCTCAAACACTACCTTTCTAAGCGCCAAAGTACAAACACTTTGTTGCTTTTGTAAGGATATGTCATCATGCACAGATGGTGCAGCTGAACATCAAATGCATATGCAAGTATGGTTTATGCTGATAAACAGGCACATTTTTGTAAGCAGGGGGCACCACATTCCATTGCTTTTCTACAATTTCTATTTTTAAGTTGGAGTCTGCTGTAAGTTATTTGTCATGTGGTTTTCTAAAAACTCTAACTGGCCCTCTACTTCCCCACCATTGTCATGCAGCTGAGATACCACATCTAACTTTGCAAGTTAAAATTACTCCACTAGTGCTCAATAGTAGCCATGCACATTTTCTGACTTGGTGGCTGCAGACTAAACAAGATCATTGATGCCACAAAGCTTGTTTTGCACCCAATACTGAAACAGAGAGTTTGGCTTGCTGTTCCACTGCAACTCAGAGCCAACTCTACTGCTGTCAACAAACATTAAGTCAGACTTGGAAAGCTTACAGGAAGTTTTCATGGCAGCATGTGCTACTAGGGGGAGAAACAACTGTCCACCTCTGAGTTGCAGGAATTCTGAGAACCAAGATGGTTTAGAAGAAAGGCACAACAGGGTCATGGTAAAAAGGCACCTCACGGAAACTTAACATCTACCTGGGTGAAATTTTCACCATTAATTTCCTGGGGCAGGAGGATGAACCGAGGTTTTAATTGATAAAGGGGTTTGGGTTTTTCTTCTCCTAAACGCAAGCAAATGGAAATTGAATTGGGGTCTCAGCACCTCAGCATGTATGGCTAAGTGCCATTCTTCAGCCTCAGCATTCTGGTTTTAGATGGAGATAATGCATGAATTGTATGAAGAAACCATTAGCCATATACACCTGAAACATGAAACAAAGCTCATTTGGCTCCGTATTTCAGCCAAAATAGTGAAACAGCATGAACCTGTTGGTTTTTTCCTCACTCATCTAAAAGAGGTAATTAATTTGTTCCTTTCCAAACCGTTGAACTTTGTGGTTACAGGAAAGCCAGATCCTGGGCAATTTCCTGTTTCCTTCCTTACATGTTAACCCATTTGAAGTGGGCTTGAGCACAGACAAGATCTGTAGTTAGCCTCTCTTCCTATTGCCAACCAAGAACATCTTAAAACAGCAGGTCAGTCTCTAAACCCAAGTTTATTCACAATTTTGGCCCTCCTGTATACCTGTAGATATACATAAAGCATGGAATGGCAGGAGCTGGCAACTTCCATCTGAAATACACTCAAGGTCCTAAACACACATAACTATCGCTGGCAAACATCCAATTAACTCCTTTGCTGAAAGTAACAGTACTACATTGTGTAACATCTTATCAAATGGCTATTAATACACTATCAAGAGCTTTCAACAGAAACAATGTCAAAAAAAAAGGAATATACTAGGATCATTTCTTTTTGAAGAACTGTGGAGTGCTTCAGAAACGGCATCTACGCCTCGGGTGAAATTAAAAGCATTCGCCATTAGAATTTGGGAGTGATAGGAGAAAGCCAACATGTCACACAGAGCATGATAAGTGGAATAAGGCAATTATTTATATTTTCACAAAAATAAGTGTCACAGAACTGTTCACACTTGTGAGAAACAGACACCACTGAACCAAAAGTAGATTCAGTGCTGAGGAAATATAATTGACACCAATGAGTCAAGACACGTACATGGTGCTCAATACAGCTTTTTCTACTCCTTTTCTGTTTTTTCTATTCTTTCTTTCTATTCCTTTTCCTAGCCATAGAAGATTGGGTACTGAAATGGTTCTAGTTTCCCTCTGCTCTCTCACATCACATACAAGTCAACCCCAAAGACACCATGCCACAGCAAAAGTTTTTGGAGGGCACTTACCAGTGTGAAAGAAGAGAAGATAGAAGACATTTCTGGAACTCTTCATGGTGAAAATTTTGGGATTTGTGCTTTTTCCAGCCTTCAGAACTCCCAGAGATCAAGGCTTCTGCAAGTGTGCTCTCCCCAGCCTGCTCCTTGGTGAAAATCAGCAGCATTCAATCGCAGGTGCACTTTGTTCAACAATTTATCTTGCTTACCTTGGCACACGTCACCTCATAATGACTATGGGGAAAAAAAGCCTACCTCTCTTCACACTGCCTCTACACTTGCAAAAAAATTCAGACTAGGAAATTGCAAAATATCTGAGGCACCAATGAGGTTGTTACTGCTTTAGCACCACCTATAGACTTAGATAAACAGCTACACACTGACTCATAGGGGTAAGGCAGGGCTGTGTAAAGAAATCCTCATTTTAAGTGTGAGTTCTATGTATTCCCTATGTGTTGGGCCTCAGGAAGCAAAAGTAGATTCAAGCTAAACACTTTATCTGACAGAGCTGATGGTCACTTTTTTGCCACATTCTCAGTGTTGTCATGAATCCCATAAAGCCATAACAAGAAACCCAAGCTTTTACAACAGTGAAGCCTATACACTCTGCAGGTGGTACAGTGCAAGCTAAGTGCACATCTCCTGAAATTTAATAGCAAGTGCTATGAAATCACTGAAGTAGTTTGATTTTTTTAAGGTTTTAGAGAAGGCTCAGGAAGGCTTCTCTCTCCCAGAAAGAGTAAAAACTCTGCTGACAATAGCTCTGTTAAAAGCTGCTGTGAATTTTTGAGTAGTTTTCACAAAGCAACACTCGTTTGTGCTGCCCTTTTCACTTCTCGTTAGTCAATGAACTGCAGCTGCCTGTAACACTTTGTTTAGATAAAAGCCATTTAATGCTGCTTTGCTCTGCTGACTGCCATTTCTGAGCTCAGCACCCAGCTACCAGAAAAAGAACGCCTGTGTACCACCATGAATCCCCATGCACGCTTCTTTACCATCTTCTACCAAGAGCATGCACGAACAACTGTATGCATCCTTCAGATAATCTATACAGTAATGTTGCATGCATGCTTTGAGGAGTTGGTTACTTAGCTACCTGACTGCAATTTGGCCAGGCTGCTAGCTTTAACACCTACTAGTACCTGTAAGACAACAGCTGAGTTTAAGTCAATTAATTGCTATTTCAAGTGTGGAACTTCAAAAAAAAACAGAGCATGACCCCTCCAGACCTTCTTAAACAAAACCTTATGGCTGAACTCCGATTCTGGCTACCTAGACCACCTGGAATTAGTCATCCCTTTGTTGTCTAAAGTGCTAAAGAACAACCTGGCACCACTGGAGTCCTTCCAAATTTCTGGAAGGATCCATTATTTGGATCCCTCCTGTGCCCTTCCCACTGGCCAGATTAACCCCTCAAGCCCTCTGATGCTCACAGCAAAGCTTACATATATATAGATGACAAGACTGATGCACAGTCCTAGCACCGGTTGCTTAAGACTGCAAGGACAAGGTTAATAAGAAATTAATTCAGTACCAGGCCTCTCCTGTGGTTCTTCTGATCCTCTACGGGAAAGGTTCAGAAGGTAGAGAAGCAGCCTTTTCGTAGAGGAAGCCTATTCTGAATGCAACCCCCTCTAGACCACCACACAAGCATAGTTCATGATAGTTTAGCTCATTTTCCTGTTTTACTCATAATTTTATGAATATCTATGCTTTAAGGAGGTATTAAATTTCCTAACCTAATTTCAGCATAATTTAGCAAAAATGCCCGCAAAGGAAATGATTAATATAACTTAAAATAACAATAGAGAACAGCAAATACTTCATCAAGCATGCTTCTGTATAGCAGTTACAAATAGTTGGGTTAGCAGGCGGGGAAGAAAACCCATGGTGCCTTCACTGGGCCAGCAAAAGTAGGGTGGTAATGTATCAGTATAACACCATTTGGATTTCTTAATTACTCTAGTTGTTAAATTGGAAGTCTTAAGAGAAGTACACGTATTGTAAAATGTATCTTTAAAATACGGGAAGTAAAGCATACCCAAGAATCAAAGATATATCAGCACCCGATACTGGAAAAATGAGATTCAGAGAAACAGCAATTAATGCAAAATCCTAAAAATTACAAGATAAAACAAGTCAACTAGGAGCATCAGGGCTGCCAGAATCAACTTTTCTGCCAGGGCTCAAGGGCAACATCTGAAACAAACAAAACCGAAAATACAAACAAGATACCCCGGAGTCCTTTGGGGTTTCTTGATCCAAGTTTTCACTCTAGCATGACAACCATGCAGGACAAATGCCTGGGAGAAAAGTTCTGTGAAAGTTATTCAGACATTCCAATATATGAAAGAGTAATTCCTCACATATCTACTCAGCTGAACAGGAACTATAACTCTTTTTCTGATGGGTTAAAAAAAAAGAGGTAGGAAAAATAAAAACGTATACAATATAGAGATCTCATGTTATTTTGGTTTGCAGATTTGATAGCTGAGATCAAAAAAACATAATGATCTGAAAGTTGGTGTGTTTTAAGATGTCTCACTATACACCTCAAATAACCAGTGACTTTCAAAGAGGTGGACTACAGTAAACTTTTAGCTCCTTTAAAAATTTATGACATTATTTATCAAAAGTTGCAACGATCTTACAAACCTTGCACTTCCACAGACAGAAGGCATCTCAGAAAGATAGCACACCTACTTCACAAATCTAGAAAAACAAAAATTACTTTGGGCCATACATCAGCAGCTTACACGTACTGTAAGTCTTACAAGTATGCCACATAACAGCAATATTTGTGTCCCAAGTTTAAACCTGCATTTAATGTAGTAACTTCACTGGCCCCAATCTGGTCACCAGTGTTCCTCTAACACATTATTTTCACTTACAGTCTGAGTCAATTATTTTAAAATTCTACAACATCTATATTTCTTGTGATTAAAAACACACTTGACAAATATATTGTACAATAAAGTTTATTATCTGTTCTCCTCTTTCTAACAAATGGAATGGATAGTGTTGATAATTCTTTACAAACCAAAGCTAATTTGGTTGTGCGACTGCCCCGTGACTGCCATAGTACATCCCTCTTATAAACAATCAGTTTCAAATAAGCAATGGCAGATACCAAGTAATACGGGAATTAGAGAATTTAATTACTGAAGGTAGTTCCATGTTTTGGTACAACGTATTTATAACATTTGGCACAGAGGTTTGTGCACTGCAAATGGAAGATCTTGTGCCTTTGCAATTTGAGATGAACATGTACAGAAAAATAAAACGTATTGTTGACTCTGAATTCTCCCTTTGGTTAAGACATGCATATTACAAGTGGGGTGGGGGGGAGGGGGGGAGGAGACAAACACCTGAAATTCCGTAGAAAAGAGGAGAACTTGCATGTATTTTTTTTTCTTGTAACTAATATTCCCTGGACTTTATGCCCAGCCACCACAGCCCATTTGATTTCTCGTGATTAAGGAAGGTAAATTCTAATTCGTACTTTCATTCAAAACAAAAAGCTAGAGTA